TAAAATTTGAGAAAATATTAAGGCTACTTAAGACCTTAAATTAAGGATAAAAGAATGGTCTAGTTCTTACTTTATTGGCGACCTATAAACTTGAGAAAACACCCGGCCCGAATTTAGGTCACTTGCGACCTAAATAACAAATCATATATGACAATAAAATTTGGTAAAAATTTACCAGTTATTTTGACCTCAGCCCAATATTCAGGAGATATATGCCCTAAAACTAAAATTTCATTTGATTTTTTTTAATTATTTTTGTTTTTATTGTTTTATTTGTTAAATAGTCTTATAACAATTAATTATTACTTATTACAGCAAATTCAAATTGCTTCGGTTTAACATAGCTTTTGTCCATTAGACTGTCCATGTGAACTGAATAGTTATGTTTTCTCTTAAGGTTAATTACTCTTAATGGCCCATATCCTTCCACTTCATAAAAATAAAAATTTGAGCAAAATGTTGTGACAAGCTTTTGATTTTATCAACAATAAAATCTTTGTTTATAGCATAATAATTTAATTTAAGTTTTCACAATACGTAAAATAATACGCGATTATTTATATATAATAATAAATATTTAAATATTTAACGCATCTGAAAATATAGACGTATTAATATGGTAAATGTATACGGATGTAAAAACTTTCCTTCGCTTATATCATCATCTTTTAATTTGTTTAAAATTTCCAGACTGTAATTCTTCGTTGCCCTTGTAATGCAATCCACTTATTTTCCAAACTGGGTTTTACGTCTGGATATTTCAACTCAAAATCTCGAGTTATCTAATAAGAAACATAAACATATTAAATAATAAATATGATATGAACGTTTCACCGAATACATACATACATAAGTAACCACTTGCGCATACTTTTGTAGGAATAATGCGCATCTTGTCAGCGATTTATTTTAAAGAAATAAATGAGATTAAAGGGATTTTGACCTAACTGCTCATTTGTATATATATGGCGACCAAGAAAATATCTTGTTTAACTCCATTTTCTTAAAGTTAAGAAACCTGTAGTGCGCGATTAAATGCGTATAAATAAAATTATTTCGCAATACATTTTAATTGCCTTCAAAACTTTTTACTTGCACTTGCACTTTCAAGAAACTTTACGAAATGCGCATTCTTTCTGTTAGTGATGACATGCCACCGATTTTAAGGCGATAACGATTGCTTTAAATTTTCCGTAAATCTATCTATCGAAATTTCGTACATCTTACAGTATAACATTTAAGCGAAATTAAACTTAAAATAATTCCTTAAATTATTAACTGTATAACAATAAGCAACTAATTCATACGTTGTATTGCTCACCAATATTATTTTATTAAAATGTTTCACTGAAATGGTTTGAAAGCTGCTAGAAATTTTTCGGTGAAATTGACTACTTTCAAAAAGGCTAATGACCTAAAAAAATAGTACACCCTTAACCTTAAATGTAGGCAAATTGTTCATATTTTGAGAGTTTTAAGTAATGCGATCCCTAGAACTGAAATCTTAGTCCATATTGAATTTTTTAGTTACGCATAGCCTAAAAACAAGTCTACTATTTGTCATGGTATACCCTCTGCAAGGGTAATATTAAAAGCCCCAAATAATATATTTTTGAGGATAAAGTACGTTTCCGTGCTTTAGTTGTTTTTAAAAAGCGGGTTTTCCAAAAAGTGGTCGAATAAACGGTGTTCAGCTCGAGCTGCTTAGTTGAGAAACTGTTGTTTCACAAATTCACATACAAACAAACCAACAGAAGCCAAAGTTTTAATTTAGAAAATGCTGTCAAACTCTTTTTTATTGAATATCGGATAGACATGATCGAGATGTCGTTGGACGCGTAATTAAAGCCAGAACACAACAATTCTACAATATTCAGACTTTTTGGGGTTGTAAAATATACTACACTGGCTTACAAATTTAAATTGATGAAAAACTCATTTTCAATTTGTCGATCTGTTCTACGGAAGTTATATGATATCCGAATTGAAATAAATTAAAATCGTAATTGTGGAAAGTAAGCCATCTCAAACATTTAAAAAAAAAAAACATTTTAAATCAAAAAACAGTAAAACTATAATTTTTTTAAATTCATTATTCCGATTTTTGCTTTCTTAAAATGTTTTAAAAAATACGGGTGAATATTTTTCAAATATTTTTTTTTTTAAATTGAATAGAACCCACATTTGTGAAATGGGTCGAGGATCGCTTGGAGGACGAGAGGCATTTTCATCGAAAATTGATCTGTTCAGATAAAGTTGAATCACACCTCATCGTAACCGTCAATAGTGATCGCCATCGCGGCATGTAGAAAAACTATTTTTTATGGGGTGCTATCAAGGATAAGTGCTATGCCAACCAAACTGAGACGATTGAGGACTTAAGGCACGATATTCAATTTACCATTGTGGCCATTGAAGACCATATCGAAAATGTACTGAAAATTTGCGATGATCGGACGACCTACTGCAAGGCTACCCGAGGCAGCCATAAGAACAAAAGTATTTTCCACAAATAAACCGCAAAGTTAGAGTTTCCAATAAAAAAAATATTTGAAAAATATCCATGATGTACAATATATGTATATGATAAAGTCGTCCGATCCGCCCCGTTTCGACTTATATACTAAAGAGAAGATTTTTGGTTTAATCCAAATAGCTTTAAACCTAGAAGAGACTAGTTAGTTTAAAAAGTCTTCAAAAATATAAAAAAGGCTGCATATTTTCATTGGTAGAACCTATTTTCATTGGTAAATTACGAAGTTTTATGCAATTGAAGCGGTGATTAACTTTAAGTCAGCTTGCAATGTACATTATTAACGATCAATTAACAAAACAGAAATAAAGACTAGGCGTTGCAAACGTGACTTTCCAAATTTAGTTTCTAACTTTATTCCTTTTCTAATTTTAAAATATGGATGCCTGTTTGGGGTCAAGCAGCACCAACAAATTTTTATTCGTCAAACTCTGAAACTGAAAAGGTAAATTTGTTTTGTATTTTTGTATAAGCACATTTTTTATACCCTTGCAGGGAGTATTATAATTTCAGTCAGAAGTTTGCAACGCAGTGAAGGAGACATTTCCGACCCTATAAAGTATATATTTTTGATCAGCATCACTAGCAGAGTCGATCTAGCCGTGTCCGTTTGTCCGTTTGTCCGTCCGTCTGTCCGTCCGTTTCTACGCAAACTAGTCTCTCAGTTTTAAAGCTATCTGCATGAAACTTTCCCAAAAGTTGTCTTTCTATTGCAGGTAGTATATAGTCGGAACGAGCCGGATCGAACGACTATAGCATATAGCTCCCATAGGAACAATCGGAAAAATAAATAAAAAAATAACTTTGCTGTTTTTCATTTTACTTTTTCGACATATAATAATGGTTAATTATTTTAGAATTACGGTTAAAATTTCATCAAAATCGGACGACTATATCATATAGCTCCCATAGGAACAATCGGAAAATAATGAACATAAATTATAACTAAGCTGTTTTTAAAATTTTTCTATACGCAATTAAATCAAAATGTTAATGTTTTCAAAAGTATTTAATTCTTGCAATAGCTGCAAGGGTATATTAACTTCGGCTTGCCGAAGTTTGCTTTCATTCTTGCTTTTAACTATTACATTGTATTATTTAATTTTTTTTACATATATTTTTTAAAATTGATTTATATTTTGTATAAGAGTGTTAAATATATATATATATATAAAAAATGTTAATAATATTAATGTTCAATATGTTACAAATAAAAAATAAACAAAACAAAATCGCAGAACCAATTTATTAAACTGTGTGGCATATCAAATTGATCAAAAAAGCCATATTACAGAAATGTAAATGGGTTATGAAAGACATAACACCCTAAAATGGAAACAATAACAAACTGGTATGACAAAAATATCAGATTGGTATGAAAAAATACCTTAATCTTACCACAATGCAAGGCAAATCTGATATGTGCAGCATGTCAATTTGATAAGAAAAAATCCCAAATTGATTTGTTTGAGAGTATCAGTTTGTTATGTATCATATTGATATGCCGCATGTGGCATCAATTTTGTTATGAACAAATACCCAAATTATGCCTAGTTCTGGTTTGACTTTTTCTCAATACCCAAAAATGACGATTTTAATGGTTAAAGAATGAATATAAATTATGAAACCAAGAAAAATTAAAATTGTTTCCAATCAAAAAAATATTATTTAGGGGCACTTAAACATCACTTAGAGCAAATGTGTTTGATCAGAAATTTTGACTTTGACGATAAATCCGTGACTTTTTGCTCTGGTTTATTAAAAGTGACTTTCAGCAAAAAAAATGATATAATAGTTATTAAAAATGTTGCCAAACTTAAAATTTTCGTATTTATTCTATTTCTAACTATATGTTAACGGAACACAATCATCTCGAGTTTACGTACAGAAGTGTGCGCAAGCCCTTTTGGTTGTTTTCAGTCTTAGAGTTCGGGTATGCTTTGTTATAGTGCGTGAAAATATAAGCTTAGCTAGTACTTTCCTTGTTTGCAGCGACAGTAAAATCAATTCAACAATTTCCGAAGAAGAAAATGTACTGCCTTCTTAAATTGTTTGCGCAAGACCGCATTGGGGGTTGGAAAAACAGCGTTATTGCTATTGGTTGCTTGTCGTTTCGGCATAAAATTTCAGTACGTACCTAATATTTAAACGACGAACGGAAGCAATTGCCATCTCTCTCTAGCTCATCTGTATTCCCATTATTCTGGGGTGCGAATGAAACGAAACCTACATCGTGAAACGAAGATAGAAGCTGAGTTTATAACAAGCTGCAATGACCATAGCGAGAGCTCGGTTTCGGGACAGCCTTCTTTATTTCTGAAGCTGGTATTGGTTGACTGAAGTAAAATGAATAAGCAATATTTCATGTTTGTTTTATTCAACTAAGTATGTAGCCAGTACCAAACACAGCACAAAGTCATCGTTAATAGGAAAAACTTATTCGAGGGCTATCCAGAAGCCATCTGAGGAGTACTCGTCAGTACTGTTCAGACCTCTTATTTCATTTGACGGAATCGTGTCGAGTGGATATTCATAATAAATTCACTGATGTGGGCTTATATGTGTTGAATTTACATACATACTTATATTGTGCTAAAGAAACAAGAATCAGTGTTAGGTATTCCAAGTGATTTGGAAATAAATATTTCGTCTTCAAATCAATCGATCTCAGATAATAAACTTCTCATTGTTATTTTTTAAATCTCTTAATGGTTTTTTATTGCGAAAATATAAACTTTAAGTGAGTGCAATTTAATCATATAGATTATATGTGGTGTTTTACCACTGTGCTACAAAATTGAGTTACTGAGGCCGTGTTTTTTCTGAACATGTGCTCATAACTGCTATCGGTTATTAAAAAAAAATAATTGACGTTAATAATCCAACTGCTGAAACTAAAAAAAGACTTTCCCATGTGTTCTTTCCTAAGGATTTAGAAAGACTTAAACGATATTAATTTCATTTACTACATAAATTCAAATACTACATTATTTACATGAGGTGCATTTGTATTTACACCAAATATCTTTTGATTTCGGAATTAAAGGCTTAAATTCTTTGAGGTAAGTTTATCATAGTATTGAGCATTTGGTAACAAAATTTTTAAATGCAACTTTTATATCCAGAATAAGCCGCGAAGTGCACTGCATCGCTGTTTAAAATAGTTTTATAAAACAACACGAAAGGTTGATCAACATACTATATTTAAAATGAAGGCACTGTCTAGAGAAAAAGGCGACTAGAGGACATACAGAAGGTATACAATTTTTATAACCTTTTCAGAGGGTATTATAAATTCAGTCAGAAGTTTGAAACGCAGTGAGGCAGGTATTTTCGACCCTATAAAGTAAATATATCAGCATCACTAGGAGAATCGATCTAGCCATGTCCGTCTGTTCGTCAGTCCGTCTGTCTTTCTGTCCGTCCATCCGTCCGTTTCTACGTAAACTAGTCTCTCAGTTTTAAAGCAATCTGCATGACGTTTTCCGAAAAGTCTTCTTGTTGCAGGTGGTATACAATAGGAGCAACCGGAAAAGCAGCAAGGCTAATTAATCCAGAATTACGTTTTAAATTTGGCTTACGACGACTTTTAATTAGCTACCACCGGAACGATCGAATAATTTAGCTGAAAACTATCAATGCTTGAATATTTTCAAAGAAATACGCATAAAAATATATATTTAAATGTTTTAAAGATATTTCATTTTTGCAAAAGCTGCAAGGTTATACAAACTTCGGATTCCCTGCACTAGGAAGACAACGTTTCTAAAAGTTTCATGCAGAGAGAGTCTAGTTTGCGTAGAAACGGACAAAAGGAACTGGCTAGATCGACTCTCCTAATGATGCTGATTAAGAATATATATACTTTATAGGGTCTGAAATGTCTCCATCACTGCGTCGCAAACTTCTAGGAAAAATTGTATTACTCTCTGCAATGGTACAAAAAGACCTTTTAGTCGAGGAAAAGCTAGTTAATTGTTACTTCGAAATACAAAAATATAGTTTAAAATTTAAATTCTGGAATGATTGCATTGCGTTCGGTTAGAAATGGGTACAGGATATGAATTCAAACTCAGATGCATATACAAACACAGATGAAGATTGAAATGTGCATACATATCCACATATATTTTGACATATAAAAATCTAAAAAACTTAAGAAACATTTTTGTATCTGGAATATTGATAATTTTATTAAAATCATTCACGCAATTTAACGGTAACATAAAAAAGTACTGTGTCCCCAATTTTCACCTAATTTACAAAAGTTTTTTTATTTTAAATATAAACAAAGCAAGAAAAGAAGCAAGTTTCGGCAAGCCGAAGTTATATACCCTTGCAGCTATTGCAAAAATTAAATATTCTTGAAAACATTAAAATTATGATTTACTTGCTTATATGTTTAAAAACATTGAATCTATGATAATTTGCAGCTCAGTTATACGATAGTTCCTATGGCTACTTTATGATATGGTTTTCCGATTTTAATAAAATTAAAAGCGTAATTCTGAACTGTCAAATTATTAATAAGAATTTTTAAAAAACATTACAAAATATAAAAGTATTTATTGTTTCCATGGGAGCTATTGATTCCATGGGAGCTATATGATATAGTCGTCCGATTTTGATGAAATTTAAAAGAACAGACGGACAAGGCTAGATCGACTATCCTAGTGATGCTGATCAAGAATATATATACTTTATTGTGTCGGGAATGTCTCCTTCACTGCGTTGCAAACTTCTGACTGAAATTATAATACCCTCTGCAAGGGTATAAAGAAGAAAAATTAAAAGTCACTGTGGACGGCGTCCACGTAGTGACGTTGAGCACCGGAAAGCGTGCGCAAAGAGGCTCCTACATATAGCCGTAATCCGATCTTAATAAATAATATACAAATCTAAAGGCATCGCTTTTATAATATGTAGTTTGAGCATACTAAGAGTTTTAGGATTAGTCATTTGGTTCCAGAGAAATTGTGTTTCATATATTGGATGTGTTGGGGCCGGTGGAGCAAAAAGTCATACTTTTATGGCATGGTTGTATTTTGGCTCCGATACTCCGTTAAAAAAAATGAATAAAATTCAGACAGCATTTTTGAATTGAGAACTTTTTTGTTTTTTTGTTTTTTTGTTCTGAAACCAATTTTACTGTGTTTAGCAGCTCGAGATGAATAACTTTTGTTCTACCTCTTCTTAGCAAACCCGCTAGTATTGCGGGAAAACGAGTACAGCTACAGATACGTTATATTTATCGTAAAAAAGGTTTTTTCTTTAAGTTAAATAATTACAGAATTAAAGCCAAAATTGGGTTTTAGTGATCAAATTATATCGTTTTTCTTGAAATCTCCAGTATAGATTTCTATTTATTTTTGAGTCCTTATAGCCTTTGAGACTACGCAACTTTTGCTTTATAACACATTTTTATAGCCTTGCAGAGAGTATTATAATTTCAGTCAGAAGTTTGCAACGCAGTGAAGGAGACATCTCCGACTCATGAAATATATATATTCTTGATCAGCATCACTAGGAGAGTCGATCTAGCCATGTCCGTCTGTCCGACTGTACGTCCGTCTGGCCGTCTGTCCGTCCGTTTCTACGCAATCTTGTCTCTCAGCTTAAAAGCTATCTCCATGAAACTCTCCCAAAAGTTGTCTTTCTATTGCAGGTAGTATATATGTAAGTGGGATCGAGGCGGATCGGACGACTACAATCGGAAAAATAAAATTAAAACAAGAAAGAAAGCAAACTTCGGCAAGCCGAAGTTCATATACCCTTGCAGCTATCGCAAGAATTAAATTTTTTTGAAAACATTAAAATTATGATTTACTTGCGTATTTAAACCATAATTCTGAAATATTTAACCATTGCTATATGTCGAAGAACTAAAAAAAAAATTAAAAAACAGCAAAGTTATAATTTTTTTTTCAATTATTTTTCCGATTGTTCCTATGGGAGCTATATGCTATAGTCTTCCGATTTTGATGAAATTTTAACCATAATTCTGAAATATTTAACCATTGCGACATAAAGCAATACTTGAGTATTTAAACCATAATTCTGAAATATTTAACCATTGCTATATGTCGAAGAACAAAACAAAAAATTAAAAAACAGCAAAGTTATAATTTTTTTTCAATTATTTTTCCGATTGTTCCTATGGGAGCTATATGCTATAGTCCTCCGATTTTGATGAAATTTAAACCATAATTCTGAATTATTTAACCATTGCTATATGTCGAAGAACTAAACAAAAAATTAAAAAACAGCAAAGTTATAATTTTTTTTCATTTATTTTTCCGATTGTTCCTATGGGAGCTATATGCTATAGTCGTCCGATCCGGCTCGTTCCGACTTATATACTACCTGCAATAGAAAGACAACTTTTGGGAAAGTTTCATGCAGATAGCTTTAAAACTGAGAGACGTGTTTGCATATAAACGGACGGACAGACGGACAGACGGACAGACGGACGGACAGACGGACGGACAGACGGACATGGCTAGATCGACTCTACTAGTGATGCTGATCAAGAATATATATACTTTATAGGGTCGGAAACGTCTCCTTCACTGCGTTGCAAACTTCTGACTGAAATTATAAATATAACTTTGCTGTTTTTTAATTTTTTTTAGTTCGGTTTAGTAACGGTTTACATACGACTATACGTATATAATTTTTTATGTGGAGTTCCTGAGCTTGGGCTCGTAAAATATTACAATTTTTAAACAAAGTAAAAATTTTATTTAAAATATGCCTCGAATGACACCAGAATGCTGGGATCCGATAGTAAACAATTTTTTATGTGGAGTTCCTGAGCTTGGGCTCGTAAAATATTACAATTTTTAAGCAAAGTAAAAATTTTATTTAAAATATGCCTCGAATGACACCAGAATGCTGGGATCCGATGCTCCGTTCAAGGTTGTTCAAAAAAATACTTTTAATTGGTATAGCTACAAAATAGAAAATATTTCTACATCGTTTCTCAATTACAACAAATTTAAAGGACTTGTTAAAGAATTCTAGAATAATTTTTTTTTGTGTTGGGTAGGTCATTACAAAAAATGTTTGTTCTACGACTTTTTGCTTACTTATTTAGCGGGAAATCGCTAATACAGCTAAACTTACACGGCTATTGTCAAATGCTAATCACGTTGTTCTAACATAACTGGTCTAAATAAAATAGTTTAAAAATTGTTTATTGTTTTTTTTTATTCATTTGAAGTTTTTTAAAAATTTTTAGAATCAAATTTTGTTTATTTTTTTACGTTTATAGCCCTTGGGACTTCTCAACTTTTGGTGTTTAACTAATCTTTCTGCATGGATTTTATTGAAAGCTACTTTTCTCAGTTAGTTAAAAGTTAACGCTGCAAGAATGTCATAAAAGTATCCACCACCTTATCCTTCAGTCAGAAGGAAACATTCCCGACCCTAACAGCATCATAAGGAGAGTCCATCTAGCCATGTCCGATTGTTTGTCCACTCGTTTCTACGCAAACTAGCCCATCAGTTTTAAAACTAATAGTAGAAGTTGAAACGAGCCGGATCAGACGACTATATCATACAGCTCCCATAGGAACAATCGGGAAAACATAGGAAAAAAATTATAATTTGGCTGTTTTTAAATTGACTGAATATACTTCGATAAAAAGTAATTGTAATGTTTCAGAATTACGGTTCTAATTTTATTAAAATCAGACAAATAGCTGATTGTAAAACATAATAAAAAATTTTAAGTTTTTGCATAAGCTTGGACTTGCCGAAGTTTTCTTCCTTTCTTGTTAAGTGATCTTTAAAGTATTGTCAAACGTAGTTTTTTAAACAAAATTAGTTTTTTTTTTTGTAAAACCATGGCCACAATATTGAGGTACTTTGACTATATTTCAAACCAAAACTTCTTTTTCAAACAAAAACACCGCTGAACGCGGTAAAAAAGTCGTGACGGTGCGATCGAATAAAATATATGATATCAAATTTTATATCATCATTATGATATCAAATTTTAGGACGAAAAATGAATAAGCATTCAACTTAATAATTACACTTTTTAAATGTACCCGTTCGTCGCTAACTTTTGTTTTGTCGAGTCGAGCTACACCCCGCATTTTCAAAGTTTTCAAAAAAGAGTTTCTTGTCGAGCAGCAAATTCGCCGTAATTACCACCAAATTACCATGAAATTTTGGAATAAAGATCATCATCGATGCAGAATCTACTCCACAAAGGTGAAAACCAATTGTTTTTTAAAATTTTTAATTTTGTGCAAGTGAACCAAACTTGTAAGAAACAAACTTCCTTTGCTTGTCTTATATAATCTACACAAAAACATAGTTGCCAATAGATTCTAAAACAATAGCTCGATTTCGATGTCTACCGATAGGCATGAACGAGACACACACACAGATAATAACTAAGGTCTAACATGTCACAGAGTGGGCGTGGCAACTTTTGAAATAAACTTACTGGATTACTGCATGTCGAATCCAAAATCTCTAGCTGTTTTTGTTTACGAGATATCGACGTTTACACGGACGGCAGACGGATATGTCTACACTCATAGAAATTTCTCCCTAAAATCCAATAAAACCGCTTTGAATTTTCGCCAAAGGCGAGTCACGTTCACTTGAAAATTTAATTCTTAAATTAATGGTGATTCCTTTCTTTAAACAAGAAATGCATCTCTTAAACCAAGAAATATTATTACTAAAATAAAGAACAGTATTTGTATAAAATCGCAGTCGGTGACATACACACATTGAGAAGTTTCGCCGTAAAAAACTACTCACACAAATGAAGCGCGCGACGAGAACGCACGGATAAAATCCATGTTCGTTGTGTGGTAGACACCCCCATCTCGCCATCTAGCAAACATACACATGCATTTAAATTCAAACTTTTACTAGGGTTAAGATGATAAAGATAAACATGATTTATAAAATTTATATTAGATCATTTAGATATACAAATAATACCAAAACTTGAAAATAACTGACATTTTTATTTGGTCGTTGGCGAGAACCAAACCCGGGCCTTCCGCGCGGGAGTTGGACATTGTAATACTAGGCTATATTCGCACCCAAAAAATGAAAGTCAAGAACAGAGACCGTTTCGTCAGCTTGGACAAGTAATGTTAAAAAAAAATCAAAATCTGATCTTCTATCCATTCGGAAATGGTCAGGCAACTTAGCCGCTAGGCTACCATAAGGCAGCTGAGTCAAAGGCTGCTTTTTTATTTTTGAGGAATACCGTCCGTCCGTGTGAACGTCGATATCTCGGAAACTACGAAAACTTGTCTCTCAGTTTGAAAGCAATGAGAATGAAACTTTCACAAAAGTTGTCTTTCTGTTGCAGGTAGAATATATGTAAGCCGGAATCGGCTCGCCGAAGGCTCTTCCTTTCTTGTTTCTAAATCACTACAAATATCTATTTTATATATAAAACATAATTCAATATATTTTATTTTATATTTTTTTAACTTAACTAATTTCAAAGCTAAAATAGGAACTATTATAACTTAAGCACTAAATTTGTTCATTTAAGAACCTTAAAAAAAGTATCGAAATATATAAGAAAATTTGTTGATTAATACATATATAATTCTTTTTTTATTTTAGCGCATATACCATTCTATGACCTGTACAAAAATATCTTCGTATGTCATCCAACGTTCTTGCAAGTACATCAATAATCGAACAAAAGACCTATAGACAAATTTATGATAATATAGATCAACTTTTAGCAACAGACTTAAATGAAGAAGAATTGGTAATGAGTTTATCTCCAAAGGACATATCGATACCTACCGCCATTTCTCAGCAACATCAAGTGGATACTTCTATCAAATCGAATACAAACGAAGCATCGACACACAATACCGTAACTGCAGCAACCGCGATAGCGGTTGCACATCATCAGCACAATCTTTCGAACATTCACCACCTGCAAAGTCTTCATAGTCAGCATCAGAGTACCTTATTTAATAGTAATCACTCAACACCTTTTAGCGTAACCGATATCTTAAGTCCAATTGAAGAATCGTATCGCAAACTGGAACTGAGCGGAAACCCGCCATCTCCATTTAGGTAAATATATAGCCACTCTTATATATACTTTTATTGGAACATTTTATTGTATTCAAATATAAATGTTATTCCCGTTACTCGTAAAGTAAAATGGTATATTGAATTTGTTGAAAGAAATGTAACAGGCAGGACTGTAGGTGTTGGACTCTGTGTGTGTGTTTCGATCATATCTATCGGTAGACACAATTTAAAATCGAGCTAACATTTAAGATGTTATAGGACTATAATGTCCTCTGCCGCCGCTTTGCCGCCGCTTTTCCGCGCCTCTGCCGCTGTTCAGCCGCTGCTCTGCCAGTAATCGCTGCAGTAGAGAGACAGAACGAGAGTAATGTTAGCGGGAGGTGGAAGTGCTAGCTCTTAGCCTCTCGTGTTGGCTTTGCAGTTCGACAGATGAAGCCACCTAAACTTAATTAAAAGCTTTGAACGGGTAGATGCATCAAATCATTATGAAATACCTTTTTTGGTGCAGGCATGTATTTTTAGGATACAGAATTCAGGGCCAGAAGAAAAGAGGAAGCGCGTTTGACAATATAAAGAGTTTTTTGAAGATCTCGGAAGGAATATGACCAACATAATACCCATCTCCGATATCTTGATGACTGTTTTCTGTCGGTATATGACTGTTTGTCAAGGTATAAAATAATTTTACAAATCGAACCAAAAGTCAAATCCAGATTTGAAAAACCCACCCCTTCAAGTTAATTTTGTTCTTTTGTGTTAGCATTAGATGGTGTTTTTCTATGAGAAAACCAATGCCTGTAACAGTAACATAAAAATTAAAATTTGTATTGTTATTCAGAGAAAAAGGATAATATAATCATGCCTTTTTCAATCGAATTTTGCGCTGTTATGTGCCAAGAGGGAGACCGAGAGAAAAAAATAGAGGTCCTATACCAAAAAAAAAAGAAAAAACCTGAGCTATTAACTTATTTCTAAGTCCAAAAGAATTAAAAAAAAGAAGAGGGAACGCTATAGTCGAGTTCCCCGACTATTAGATACCTGTACTCAGCTAAAAATTTCTTACTTTATATTTCCCCACAAAACAATCGAGGCCCAGGTGGCGTCTTTTGTCGGACTGCAACAGCCAACACTAAAAGCTAAGAGCGTGCAGTGTCCCCACCCCCATTTAACAGTAACATAGCTCAATTTTTAAAATTTTTTCTGTCTACTGATAGATATGACCGAAACCTACACACAGAATCCAATACAAAGGATCTAACATGTCTCAGAGTGCCGTGACAGAGGTGCTTAGTGTATTGCTATTCGAATAGGATGACAATTTTGGAGAATGTTTCATGCAAGTAGCTTAAAAACTGAGAGACTAGTTTGCGTAGAAACGGACGGACAGACGGAAGGACGGACGACAGAGGGACTGACAGCTGAGCAAGATTATATATACTTTATAGGGTCTGCGTTGCAAACTTCTGACTGAAATTATAATACTCTTGCAGCCTTGCCTTCAATTCTTTCGGGCGGCGGAATTGCTAAAATGCCGAAGTCTAGAATCGAATAGATTCTGAGACGCAATCACAAAAAAATTTGTAATAGGTCAAATATGATTTTATAAACCAAATTTTTAAAGAAATAATGTTCTTAAACCATCAAAGAACAAGGAAAAACCATCTGCATTTTAACTTATCGCAAAGTATTTTAAATTAAAAACGCGTTGTAATTTTGATACGCAGTTCAGTTCCAACCGATCTCGGAACCAGGACCAAAAAACGGGTCACTTATGTGGTTGAAGAATGGACAGCCGTCCGATGGTCAAGCTAGGTTTGCCCCAAGTGCATTTGTGTAGTAAAGAGGTAAAAGCTTTGAAGGACAACGATATTTGTAGCATTATTACTTTTATTTATTTATTTATTTTTTTCAATATCATTACTCAGTAATAAACTGCATTGTTATTTCGTAATTATTTTCTTTAACAAGAAAGGAAGCTAGCTTTGGCATGTCGAAGCTTATATATATATATATTTATGTCGCTATAGCAAACATAAAATACTTTTTAGAACAGCTTATTTCCGATGTTTATGCGTAAATGTTCAAAAACATTGATTTTCGCTGAATTATTCGATCGTTTCATAGAAGCTCTATGATATTGTTCTCCAATCAAATAAGTAAAACCCTAATTCTAAATTATTAAACCATTATATAGCTTTAAAAAAGCTTTTGTTTGCTCTTTATTTATTTTTTTAATTTTCCGATTGTTCTAATGGGCTTGATGACATTAGGCCTGTTCCGGTTTTCACTCGGAAGTGAATTTGATAACATTTTGGGATTTCCTTTTAACATGGGAAAATTTCCCTTCTTTTGGTCGCTTTTGCTGCCAATCAAAATTAGCTGACTGAAAGATGTCCCCTATTGACAAAGGCGTTTGATTTGTCAGAGTTTTGGTGCTTCAGGGCTGATTAAATATTTGCCGCTGGTGACCTCCAGCATTAATGGTATACTTGTTTAACGCATAAAATCGAAGGAACTGGCATTGGCGGCCACAAACACAAATTTTAAAATTTTTGTATGCCGATTTTTGGCTAGTGCTAGAAAGTGTTAAGAACCACAGTTGCCAAAGGCGATGAAAAAGGTCCCACAAGAGACGTTTTGCACAAACAGAACATTAAATTAAGCGGTTATAAGAACAAAAACACTTTAAAATTTTACCTTGATTAAATGCCTATATTACCATAATAAGACAAAACACAAAAAAGCGTGCTAAAATAAGTTCCAAGAAAATACTTGTTTTTTTCGTACCATGACAGCTCTTGCAGCCTTCCCTTCAATTCGTTCGGAAACTAGAACAAGGGGGGCGGAATTGCTTAAATGCCGAAGTCTAGAATAGATAATAATAATTAATTTTTAACAGGTTAAATATGTTTTTATAAACCAAATTTTTAAAGCAATAATGTTCTTAAGCTATCAAAGAATAAGGAAAAAACCATCTGCACTTTAACTTATCGAAAAGTATTTTAAATCAATTAATTTTTGTGCTTCCGGAATTGAATCTGCCAGCCAATTGCTTGGCGGAAAGTTTCCGTGAGATTTTTACGGAAGTTAACAGAGAATTATCAGAAGGAATGCGGCTGTTACAAAAATTAAATATTCTCGCAAAAATTAAGATTATTATTTACTTCCGTATATGTTTAAAAACATTGAAGCTATGATGATTTGCAGCTCAATTATTCGATAGTTCCTATGGCAGCTATACGATATCGTTTTCCGATTTTAATAAAATTAAAAGCTTAATTCTGAACTGACAATTATTAATAAGGCAAAAAGAATTTTTTAAAATAATTACAAAATAAACAAGAAATGAAGCAAACTTCGGCAAGCCGAAGTTTATATACCCTTGCAGCGATTGTAAAAATTAAATATTCTTGAAAACATTAAAATGATCATTTACTTGCGTTTACGTTTAAAAACTTTGAAGCTATGATGATTTGCAGCTTAATCATAATTTTAATGTTTTCAAAAATGTTAAATTCTTGCAATAGCTGCAAGGGTATATGAACTTCGGCTTGCCGAAGTTTGCTTTCTTTCTTGTTTTAATTTAATTTTTCCGATTGTTCCTATGGGAGCTATATGCTATGGTCGTCCGATCCGACTTGTTCTGACTTATATACTACCTGCAATAGAAAGACTACTGTTGGGAAAGTTTCATGCAGATAGCTTTAAAACTGAGAGACTAGTTTGCATATAAACGGACGGACAGACGGACAGACTGACAGACGGACAGACGGACGGACAGACGGACATGGCTAGATAGACTCTACTAGTGATGCTGGTCAAGAATATATATACGTTTTAGGGTCGGAAACGTCTTCTTCACTGCTTTGCAAACTTTTGACTGAAATTATAATACCCTCTGCAAGGGTATAAAAAGTTATGTTTAAAAAAAACAAATTTTTTCCTTATATATTTATTGTTCCAATGGGAGATTAATGTTATAGTCGTCCGATTATGATGAAAGTTAAACCGTAGTTCTAAAATATTAACCCATTACTATATGTCAAAGAACTAAAAAAAATTAATAACAGCAAACTTATAAATTTTTGTTTTATTTTTTTCGATTGTTCCTATGGGAGCTATATGCTAACGTCGTTCCATCCGGCCCGTCCCGAATTATATACTCCGTGCAATAGAAAGATAACTTTTGGGAAAGATTCATAGCTTTAAAACTGATTTTGCGTAGAAACTGACGGACAGACGGACATACGGACATGGCTAGATCGACTCTCTAAATGATGCTGATCAAGAATATAAATACTTTATAGGGTTGGAAAAGTCTCCTTCACTGCGTTGCAAACTTCTGACTCAAGTTATAATAAAGGTTCTTTCTCTGGTTTTGTTTTGCGTTGACCCAAATAGTAAATAAAATCTGTAAGTAGATTTAGTGACTAATTCATTGAAGAAAGTGATGAAAAATGCCGTATAACGAGCCCCTATGGCATTCAACTGTGACGGCGACCATTTGCCCATATCAATTTATCGACTAGACCAAAAAATTTCTAAAGGTTCAAAAAAAAAAAATAATTAAAAAAACAGAATCGAAGTTTTTCATTAAAAAAAAATGTGAGCTAAACCACTTCGGATGACTTATTTTGGCCCACCTTACATTACTTAACAAGAAAAGAAAGAAATTCGGCGAGCTGAAGTTTACATACCCCTGCGCTATTGCAATTAAATATTCTTTAAAGCATCTAAATTTTGATTTATATGCGTAGATGCTTAAAAATATTGTAGCTATGATTATTCGATGGTTCCTATGGCAGCAATATGATATTGTTTTTTGATTTTAATAAAATTAAAAGCGTACTCCTGAACTATCAAATTATTACTAGTCAAAAAGAATTAGTTACATTTTTTTTAATTTATATTTTTGGTTCTCATGAGAGCTTTATGATATAGTCCTCTGGAAATGAAATTTAAACCCTCTGTAATATTTAAGCATTACTATTTACCTCGAAGAACTAAAAAAAAATATATATTAACAGCTAAGTTTTCTCATTTATTTTTCCGATTGTTCCTATAGCTCCCATATGCTATAGTCGTCCGATCCGGATCGTCCCGAATTATTTACTACGTGCAATAGAAAGATAACTATTGGGAAAGTTTAACGCAAATAGAAACAGACAGACGGACAAGAGAGGAGAAACAACATTATAACTTTGCTCTTTACACGTATATATATATATTATATATTATATATATATTGTCCGAACCAGCACGCTCCGACTTACATATATACTATCTGCAACAGAAATACAGCTTTTGAGAATGTTTAATGCAGATATGTAGCTTTAAAACTGAGCGACTAGTTTTTGGACGGCCAGATGGACGGACATGGCTTTTTGCATTCTTCTAGTGATGCTGATTAAGAATATAAATATATGGAAATATTTCCTCCACTGTGTTGCGAACTCCTGGGTACTACAAAGTTTATAGGAATAACTGTGGAACGAACGTCGTTTCCGAACATTCTGAACATTTTTTTAAGTTTTCATCGTTTTCATGTATGTAGATTTACACTCATTTTTTGTAGTTGTCTTTTGTCCTTTTTGGTTTTGATCAAACTTGGTGTCGTCCGACGCAAGGCCAAGGAATGCTAATTTTTTTGTAAAGTTTTTGTCTTTGTTTTCCTTGTTCGTCATGTTTTTGGTATTCTTTTTTAAAAAGAATCTCCACTGTTTTTTTATACCCTTGCAGAAGATATTATAAATTCAGTCAGAAGTTTGCAACGCAGTGAAGGAGACATCTCCGACCCTATAAAGTATATATATTTTTGATCAGCATCACTAGTAGAGTCGATCTAGCCATATCCGTCTGTGCGTCCGTCTGTCCGTCTGTCAGTCTGTCCGTCTGTCCGTCTGTCCGTCCGTTTCTACGCAAACTAGTCTCTCAGTTTTAAAGCTATCTGCATGAAACTTTCCCAAAAGTTGTCTTTCTATTGCAGGTAGTATATAAGTCGGAACGAGCCGGATCGGACGACTATAGCATATAGCTCCCATAGGAACAATCGGAAAAATTAATAAAACAAAATTATAACTTTGGTGTTTTTTATATTTTTTTTTTAGTTTTTCGAGATATAGTAATGGTTAAATATTTCAGAATTACGGTTTAAATTTCATCAAAATCGGACGACTATAGCATATAGCTCCCATAGGAACAATCATAAAAATAAATTTAAAAAAATTATAACTTTGGTGTTTTTTAATTTTTTTGTTAGTTCTTTGAGATTTAGTAATGGTTAAATATTTTTTAGAATTACGATTTAAATTTCATCAGAATCGGACGACTATAGCATATAGCTCCCATAGGAACAATCATAAAAATAAATTTAAAAAATTAGAACTTTGGTGTTTTTTAATTTTTTTGTTAGTTCTTCGAGATATAGTAATGGTTAAATATTTCAGAATTACGGTTTAAATTTCATCAAAATCGGACGACTATAGCATATAGCTCCCATAGGAACAATCGTATAGCCGCCAAAGGAACTATCGAATGATTAAGCTGCAAATCATTATAGCTTCAATGTTTCTAAAAATACACGCAAGTAAATCATAATTTTAACGTTCTCAAGTTATTTAGTTTTTGAAATAGCTGCAAGGGTATATGAAGTTCGGCTTGCCGAAGTTTGCTTGCTTTCTTGTTATTATATGAAAGCATTTATTCGGTTACCTTTTACATTTTTTTGGTGATATTTAACCAAATTAATTGGATCTTAAATGCAATAATAGTCTCTTCAGCGTTAAACTACTATAAATTGTTACCTTTTTGTCATATTCTGACTCGTGTTTCTATGTGTTTACCACTTAATGTGAGCAGGGGCATAAGATGATATTCGACATTCTCTCAAAAAATAATAGTTCGTTACTAAAAAACAGCTCTAAATATATTTGTATTTTCAGGTCTAACTCCAGTGGCAGCAGTATTAATTCCCCTGGAACATTACCTTCTTCAACTATGGCCAATCCTTATGCTATGGGATCTTTATATCATAGCCCAGGAGTTCAAAGCTACTGCGGACCTACCGATAACTTATCTCTTGCTGGTCACTACACTGATATGAGAAGTTCTGCCTCATGGTACGGATCAACTGCAAACGATCCGAGATTTGCCAGTGAGTTAAAAACCATAATACATACTGTTATTCAAATTAGTATACTATCAATCATTTTCCCTGTTATTTACCGACTGAAGCAATTCTTTGATTCGTTACAACCGACCATTAAATATCTTTAACGTTTTATAATTGCACATGCGTAAATGTGGGGCTTGGTAATTCAATGAAAACTATACTAATCAAAACTGGATTGTAAGATGTGTAAAAAAAGTGTCATGATATGCCTTGGGCCGATTATTTGAGTAAGGTCTACCTTATTTTGTCATATTTAGGAGAAAACTTTCATGAGTGCATTATTCTGGAATTTTAGTACTCAAAAAAATGGTTACTGAGCAAAAAAATTGTTTTAATACTAGTTTAATAGTGTTTTTTTCTTTTGCACAATTTATTTAATTAATTTTTTCTTGTTTTATTATAATTCTTTATATGCTAGTTGTTTACAGAAAATTATGTGAATTTCATTATTTATTTAACTAATTATTACGTTTTTATGTGGGGGCTGTAATCATCGAAGACACGCAATCTAACCAACGAATTTTTTTAGAGGAAAATATGTAGGCTTAAAATCAAAATTTTATAAATGCTACAAAAAAATATCAGCTGCGAGAGCGGGATTTTACCTCACGCCCACAGATTACTATCCTGAGACTCTAAGCACGAAAAGATAAGAATTCGACGATTGAGTATTAAATTATTAAATAAAAATCAACAACAAAAATTCAAAAATAAGGTTTTTAACTATTATAATTGTTATAAATCAATTAAAAATCCCAAAATATAAGACTACAACGTTAATTTTGTGTTAAATAGAAAATTTACTATTTTTATTCCCGTTGCAGAGGGTATTAAAACTTCAATAAAAAGTTTGAAACGCAGGAGTGCTCAACAGGTTTTACACAACTTATAAGCATGTTTTCCTTTTGACCCCTCCAATTTTGATCTAGCGATCTCCGTCAGTTTCTACACAAACTAGTCTCTCAGTTGAAAAATTATCTGAATAAAAATTTCCAAAAAGTCTTATTTATATTATAATATATATTGTCGTTTTACTGATTTTTTTATGTTTATAATTTCTGCAAGAGTATATAAACTTCGACTTGCTGAAATTTGCTTCCTTTCGTGTTGACTATTTCCATATTTTTTTCTGTGCGCAGGATTTACGAAGAACTTTACGAAATCTTTCTTGTATTCATTAAAACTCCTTCCTTAAACTTTCTAGAAAAACATCATGAAAACAGAGCATTCGACTAGAGTATTCAGAAATTAATTGTCTTAAAACAATTTCAGTTATGTCACCAATCCGCCGGCAAACCGATTTTATAAGGATTTTACTGTCTGAAAAAAGGGTGTTTTTCGACTGTTGTCTCCGTTAACATCTGCAAATAGCACTTAACATATGATTTATAGAAGCTAAAAAAATACGTATACAGTTTACCGACGGTATTTTCGAAGTCAATAACTTGTTAGATTGGTGAACGTTCCATCTTCAATTTAAAGTGATAAAATTATTTTCGGCTTGTAGGGGTGTATTTTTATACTCTTTCAGGCGGTATTATAATTTCAGTTTGTAACACTGTGAAGGAGACATTTCCGACTCTATAAAGTATAATGATCAGCATCACCAGTCTAGTCAATCTAGCCTGTCCTTCGAACCTATGTCCGTTCGACCGTTTCTACGCAAAATAGTCCCTCGGTATTAAAGCTATTTGGATGAGACTTTGCAACGATGAGCACCGGAACGTGTTTTTGAGCACACTACTAAAATACTAGAGGGTGTTTTACAAAAGAGTTGACTATAGATAAAAACGAGTGGATATTCTTAAAATTATCGGTTTATTTGTGGAAGACTATTTCATTCATATGGCTGCTCTTGGAGGCCTTGCAAAAGGCCATCCGATCGGCCCCATTTTCCAGATAATTTTCGGCCTCAATGTCCTTAATGGCCTTAATGGCAACTTCAATTTCGTGGTTGGCATGACATTTTTCCTTGACGGCACCTTACAAACAATTGTCCAACGAATCAACGGGAGCTGCGACAACAAAAAAAACCCAAGAAAAAAGCTAGTGATTCTGACTCGAATTTATTTGTAGACTACTAATCCTGGTACTAAACCGAATATGAAAACTTTCCATCACGTACCAGTTTTCAAGAAGTTGTGGTCAGAGCCTCAAATATTTGATTTTTTAGGGCCTTTTTAAGGCTTAATAAATTGGTTTTCTTACGTGGCCCAAAGCTGTAGCTTACTTTAAACATTTAGAGCGCTGGAACTAAATGTTCTCCCCAAGTCAAGATTTGTAACTTAAAAATAAAAATTGTTTAATGTCTTTTCTTAAGTAAAGCCAATATCTAATTTTTTAAAGTTATAAGTGATTTTTTAAATTAGGAATACAATTTTATTTATTTATTTTTATTGCATTTATATAGTTGAATTTGCTAAAACCGTGAATTATTAAAAAAAGGGTCGAATAAATTTGTTGTAGCTAATTATCTGACGGTAAGGATTGGACAAATCCCTAGTCAAGCTGGGCTGCCTTAATGTTATATTAAGATCTTATAAATTATTGTGTTAAAAATTATACTGTTAACAAAAAGCATACAATGTCATTTTCAGGACTGTACCCTTTATTTTCAAGTTAAAAGGCATTTGAAAATATAATTGATTTTAAATTTATATGGTTGTCATTGTTTATTTTAGAAATGGAAAGATGATTGTTGATTTTTGCGTTTATGACCCTTCGGTTTTAAGATTCTGTTGGTGTCTGTTATATAAACACATATACCCACATGTATGTGTATGTATGTAGGTATTCATTATGTTTTGTACAGACGAAAAATTATATAGCAATAATAGAAATGTACCGTGTTTAACCATTTCCCAGGTAAAAAGAAATCCGAGGTAAAGATTTTTAATGACGAACGCCAGCGGTCGACTGATTTACTTTTGTATACGCTTATTTATTTTAAGCTAGAATCACCCACCATGCTTATAATGACTCTTAAATGAAAACCATTTTATTTTTTATGTTTTGTTATTATGTCGGGCTGTCTCTCAATGCGGTCATCTCGATCAGCATGCCGAAATTTGGCTCAATTCAACTAAACTAACTTTGCAGAAATGTGATTGTGAGCGAAGCATACCCGCAATAAGAAATCAAGGAAAAACAAGAAAGAAAGCAAACTTCGGCAAGCCGAAGTTCATATACCCTTGCAGCTATTGCAAGAATTTAACATTTTTGAAAACATTAAAATTATGATTAACTGCGTATATTTTTAGAAACATTGAAGATTTTGATAAAATCTAAACCATAATTCTAAAATTTTTAACCATTGCTATATGTCAAAGAACTGAACAAAAAATTAAAAAACAGAAAAGTTATAATTTTTTTCATTTATATTTCCGATTGTTCCTATGGGAGCTATATGCTATAGTCGTCCGATTTTGATATAATTTAAACCGTAAATCGGAAATATTTAACCATTACTAAACGTCGAAGGACTAAACAAAAAATTAAAAAACAGCAAAGTTATAATTATTTTCATTTATTTTTCCGATTGTTCCTATGGGAGCTATATGATATAGTCGTCCGATTTTTATAAAATTTAAACCGTAAATCGGGAATATTTAACCATTACTAAATGTCGAAGGACTAAACAAAAAATTAAAAAACAGCAAAGTTATAATTTTTTTCATTTATTTTTCCGATTGTTCCTATGGGAGCTATATGCTATAGTCGTCCGATCCGGCTCGTTCCGACTTAAATACTACCTGCAATAGAAAGACAACTTTTGGGAAAGTTTCATGCAGATAGCTTTAAAACTGAGAGACTAGTTTGCATATAAACGGACGGACAGACTGACAGACGGACGGACAGACGGACAACGGACATGGCTAGATCGACTCTACTAGTGATGCTGATCAAGAATATATATACTTTATAGGGTCGGAGATGTCTCCTTCACTGCGTTGCAAACATCTGACTGAAATTATAATACCCTCTGCAAGGGTATAAAAATTATGATCGGTGCGTCATTTTGCTTTGAGGTTCTTGCGGCTCAACATCTCGTTCGGTTCGATCAAAATGCTGTTTTTGACTTCGTGTTTGAGTGCACGAAATGATCTTTGCCCAACGGAATCATTTTGAACAGATCGTGATGGTTTTTATTTTGTATAAGACCAAAGTACTCAAATTGTTTGCGATCAACGAATAAAATTATAGGGATACCAATTTTTAGGCTTACGTTTTTTATTTATCCATATTAATACTAATTATAATAATTCAGAGATTGTTGGCGAAAAAAAAAATTCAAACAGCTCGCGCTGCGCCAAAGACGTATGCAATCGGCGCATACAAAAAGTACCGTACTAACCAACCATAGAAACCATTTGAACCCAACACAACCAAAATATTAAACGACAAAGTATGAAATTACTTTAGTTTTAATTAAGAGTTTGTGAAAAAGTGAAGAAGTTATAGCGTTTATAAGTCGAGCCGCCGTCTTTCTTATTTATCTCTCCGTTCTCTGTTCTGCTGATGTGTTCGCACGTTTCAATGCACTCAAAATCTTATTTTTAAAGTTTTCTAGCGATATATACAATATTAAAATATTTCCAATCAGTCCGCTTCAGCCAGGTTCTTAAACTTATGGCCTAGACAGTCATTTTTTATTGCAGCGTGCCTTATGGGCTCAGTCCAGTGCCTAATCATTATTCGTCACAAATGTTGATATAAGAATATTGTTAGTTAGGGTGCGATCGGAACAAGTCGTTAATAGGTGTTTTTGTTCGATATCAGAAGCTTTTGTTTAAAATATTGTAAAGGTTCGGCAACATTATTATCAGGACTTATTTTATTTCAACAAACTATCTTTAGAAAAACTTTAAGCTAAGCTAAAAATAAGAAAGGAAGCAAATTTCGGCAAGTTAAATTTTATATACCCTTGCATCTATTAGAAAAATAAATTTGTATTTAAAACATTTAAATTTCGATTTATATAC